TTTTTTTTTTTTTTTTGCAGACATGTTTAAATTATTAATATCATATACAAAGTTGGGCTCCATCAAAGTGAACCTAATAAGGACTTTAATAAGTAAATTTAAATGATATCTTAAAACATCTTGCTCAAACAAGGCAATAATTTGTTAAAAAATAAATTAACAAATTTAAATGGCCAACATTTGACTTAGCTTGAACATTTGACTCAGCGCGCAATTAGGAGTGTAAACGGTGCAATTAGGTGTGTAAACGAGTAGACGTGACTCAAGTCACTCACGGCTTGAACCCTAGCTTGATTAATTAATTTGAGTTTGAGCTCGAGCTCTATGAGTTCGACTCAACTCACGAGCAGACTTGTTTTTTATAAAAGAGAGAAAATAATATTTTTTTCAAACAAGCGTTATAATAAAAATTACAAATCGAAAATAAACAATCATTAGGTAAATGATAAGAAATGATTTGAAATAAATTATATAATATGATTTTTTATTATTTTTTATAATTTTATTAATTTAAAAATAATATTTTAAATTTTAATTGATTTTGAGTATATTTTCTATCAATATTTTTATAAACAAATCAGTTCACGAGCTAACGAGTCAAGTCAATGTCAACTTGAGCTTAAACGAGCTAGAACTAGCACACCAATCAACATGGCTCGGCTACACCCCTATCTGCACCCCAACTTTTTCATTAACATTCTGCCATAAATAGAATCAATTACAAAAATACCAGGGCCTGATATCCTCACTTCCCCATATTATAATCCCACATGAACCTGCAGAAACAATTTATGGGCTACACATCACAACTCCCAGGTGTCCATTTCTCTCAACTAGCTTCACAACAGACGAAGAAGCTGTGCATTTTCAAGCGCATGGACCCTACTTTATTTATCAAGCAATTCTGTCGTTCTCTTTTCCTACTACTTTCTCCTTTCCACTACATTCCTATCCTCCCTGCCAAGATATTCGAAATAAAGTAGTAAAATTCAGTGCTGGAGTCAATTCATTGTCTCCCAAAGATTAAGCCATTGGTGGCTAACACTTTACTCCCTAATTCCCGCATTCTGTCTTCCCAACTCCTCCCTCATTTGTTCTTTCTTTGCATTTGTTAAGGGGTGGTTGATGGAGAAATGCATAATTTATTTGTTTTTCAATGATAATTTATTTGAGAGATGTGACCCTGAATCTACCAGATGATGGAAGAGGAATTAATGAAATGATGTTGCTAATGAGCTGCTTATATTTTAATTCATTTGAGATAAGGATGTATACATGTCAACTTAGTGAAAATGAAGATAAAAGGGGGAGGTTTATGTACATATCACATTATGTTTATGTATTAACATTGATATTTACACTTATTAGGTTTTGGTGAAGATGTGTATTTCACTTTTGAAAACTTGAAAATAATGGTATTGTTGATGTGGTGTTAATGGATTTGAGTGTGTGCATGTAAATATGAAATTTTAAAGTTTAGATGTATAAATGCATGAGAAATTTTGGTATATGTGTAAATGAATATAGAAAGATTTTGCTTCTGATGAAATATATAAATTAGCAAATATTACTCAAACAAGTGAGATGAGATGGAGAGAAAAAGATGAATAATGTAAAAGAATTATGAGGTGTTTTGGTTTGTTGCATTATTAGTGTAATGTATTCATGTTGTTGTTGAAATTTTAAAAAATTGATATTTCGTTGAATGAAAAAGAAATGCTTATAAAATTATATTCAATTGAAATTTAACGTGGCTTATTTTTAGAGAATTCAAATGTTGATTGATTTAACTAATTTTCAAATATACCACAAATCATGTCTGCCAACATAGCCGATGTTGACCACCCCCTGCAACCAATCAACCATTGCCCATACGGCCCCAATGGTTGAAAAATATTTGCGTGCGTAAGACGTACGCAGTGTTGGGTATGTCTGCTAGGTTACAGTAAGGGCATTGAGGGTTATATCTGCGTTATACCCCCTGCAACTTACTTGTAACACACTTGAAACTTAAAATATATAAAAATAGAAATGTAGAACTTACTGGTTACATGTAGGTTACAGGGATGTTACAAAAGGTATAACGAGGATATAACCCCTAGTACCCTTTCTGTAACCTACCAGACATACGCAACCCTGCATACGTCTTACATACGCAAATATTTTCCCCAATGTTGACACCATCTTTGCTTCCATATTTTACATTGAATTCATTTTAATTTAAATCAAATATATACATAGATAATTCACCTCATTTATTTTACACACATTCAAATAACATTAAAATAATATAAATTCATAATATTTCAAAAAAAAAAAAGTTATCTTTTTACTCCCCATATCTCTTCCGCAAACCAAAAAAACCTGTAATGATACATATTATATTCTTTCATTTCTATCTTATCGCACGTGAAAACAAATATTTATATGGGTTTCTATCATCGCACGTGAAAACAATTAAGAAAACATGTAATATGACAATCATCAAATATTTATTCTAAGTCTATAACTTGTGGCCATAATTTGAAGGGAAATTTCTGATACATTAATATGGGTTTCTATTACATGAATTTTTTGAATGATTCAGAGAATTTGGAATGAGCTTTTCCTGTTTGGGTAACTGTGTTTTGACAGCTTATACGTTTTCAAAATGTCAAAAATAATATTTTCACACCGCACATATCTAAGTGTGATTGAATTTTCTGGCAGTAATTTGACTTTTCAGAAAAATAAAAATTTATAATAATCATCACACCTAACTTATCAGCAGATTATTTTTAATCAGCTCATCAACATATTATTCAATAAACTGCAATTGCCCCAGATAGAACTGACACTACTTGATTGACTGTTTGGAAACAAAAGTTGCGGCCGACAACGGAAAAGAAGGGATTGCGATGCCGAAAGATTAAAAAAAAAAAAAAAAAAAAAAAAAAAAAACTGAAAAGCCACGTTCAGGACAAATCAGACTATTTTAATTAAGAGAGAAAAAGACGTTTCAATTTATATTTTAATTTTTTAAACGTTTAGTTTGAATGTCATTAATAGGAAATAAGATTTGCAATTAATATTTTAAGTGATTCATGCCCATAAATTATATTATAACATTAATTTGAATTAATATTATTCTTTTTAATACTAGACAAGACACATAAGCCAGCTCAAACCCACAGAACTAAACTCCAACTCGGGCTCAAACTCAATTAATTAATCAAATTAAAGTTCACAAGCTCAAGCAACCTAAATAAAATTATGGCAGCCCTGCAGGAACCAGGGCCACATAAACTGCCATCTGCGCTTCCAGCAACCTCCTGAGACTCCAACTGTTTCTCATAAGCCAGACTTTTTGAGAAATTATAATAATGCATGAATGACTAAAAATGCAAGCAGCAATGCCACATTTTCTAAAAAACTTATAAAAATAACAATAAATAAATAAATAAATAAAACTAAAGAGTTTTTTTTATAATAGCTTACCGTACATCAAGTAATAAAAAATTATTGATTATTTACGGTCTCTTTGGGTCAGCTGTAACTTATTGAATAATCTGCTAATAAGCTAGGTGTGACTATCAGAAATTTTTATTTTTTTTTTTAAAAGTCTGACCGCCACCAGAAAACTGTCACCACACCTAAATAGATGCGGTGTAAAAACGTTTGAAAACACATAAGCTGCCAAAACACTGTTTACCAAACAAAGTCAGATGCATTTTAAAAACACCATCGCACCAAATAAGTTGCCCCAGTTGCCTTAGAAATTATAGATTAGTGTGAAATTTTGAATAACCTTTTTACTCCATGAATACAGATAATTCGCTTATAAATAGGCGAGAACAAGACATAAAAAGAGGAAAGAAATCTTCCTACAATTAAGTAATTCCTATAATTATGGAATAAACATAAATACTTATAATTAAGGAATTACCCTTTTTATACCATGATAAAATATAGCAAGTACTAAATAGAATAACGTAAATAATAATGTGCGTAATTCCACTCCTCCTCAAGGTGGGTTGTACAGATTGTACATGCCCAACTTGTTGGTTAGCTCATCAAAACTGGATTTAGGGAGAGTCTTAGTGAGAATGCAGCGGTTTGGTCTCTAGAAGGAGTATAGACCACTTCAATGATTCCATTGTCCACATTTTTTGAAATGAAGTTTCTATCAATCTCAATGTGTTTCGTTCGGTCATGATGAACAAGATTTTTTGCGATATTGATTGCAGTTTGATTGTCACAGAACATCTTGATAGAATTTTCTCCCATAATTTCAAGCTCCTTGAGAAATCTTTTGATCCACATTCCTTCACAGATACCAAGCATCAGTGCTCTGTATTTTGCTTCTGCACGACTCCGAGATACCAATCCCCCCGATTGCTTCTTACTTCTCCATGTCACTAGATTGCCGCATACATACAAGCAATAAACCAGAGGTTCCTGCCCAGTCATTCACAAATTTTTATTTTTTTTTGAAAAAAATCAGACCGCCGCCAGAAAGCTGTCACCGCACCTAGATGGATGTGGTGTGAAACGTTTGAAAACACATAAGCTGCCAAAACACTGTTTACCAAAAAAGGCCAGATGCGTCTTAAAAACACCACCGCACCAAATAAGTTGCCCTCAGTTGACTTAGAAATTATAGATTAGGGTTACTAAAAACTTGCAAGCTAAATCTAGAAAGATACCTTCATTAGTATAAAAGGATAAAACTCTGAACAAAAAAAGTTATTAAGCATTTTCACATTACATAACAAATGCATTTATATTTTCTGTAAAGCATATAATAAAATAAAATAAAACTGCAAAAAAAAAAGAAAAAAAAATACAACCATAAAACAATATCAGACATGGCAAACTTATGCACCCCACTATGAAGAAAAATGGCTGAAAACAATCCATTGCTAATTAGTTAATAGTATTTACTAATTAGTTAAAAGTATTCGCCAGTTCCCATTCCGATATTTCATGAAAAAGCAAAACACGAACTATTCTTCAAGTTGTACGAAAAAAGACAATTAAAGCACTCAACGTTGTCATCATCTATGGGAAGTTCCAAGGAACACCTGCGGTCATTTTTTCTTAATGCAGGAAAATCTAAGGTAATCTGGAAGAAATTACTAGCTCCAAAAAATTTTTACAAAATGGGAAGAGAGGTACTAAGGCTGAAGAACTTAGGAAGAAATTCGGATCAGAGAATTAACGTATTATTTTGCAAGAATTTTCATATTAAACGCTTCTGCATCATCTCCCAAAGCACTTCAGAATGGATGACATGAGAGCCGCAGACAGAAATTTCATGCCAGCAGAACCTCCAGGGAAGTAGGATATGGCATAATATGCGAGTGCCAGAACCTATGTTGAACAAGCATGTAATTAGCTGAGATCCCGCTTGGAAAACAGAAGTAAATGAAAATATTATCTGCAATGTTAATGAAATTTTACAGAGGTCCAACCCCAATAAAAGTTTACTTGATCATCTTTGAAAAGAGACTATAAGAGAAGTGATGTACTTCAGACCTATGATTTGAGATCCAACATAAATTATGATTTCGAGTATTCAGAAAACCCAGAACAGAATAAGACATTTTTAATTTGCAAATTCTCAAAAAGTGGTGGTGAAGCGTAGAAGAAGAATTTTTGCATAGAAGAATCTACAGGACTTGATTAAGATGCCAAGCAAAATACCTGAATCACAGAAAAGAAAACAGAAAGCAGGTAGTTGTGCTGCACCATGGACACATAAATTGTTCCCACCATGCTGGCTATAAAACCCAATGTGAAAGGAAGCCTCTGCCAAAAAAAAAAAAAAAACGAAAAAAAAGAGTAAACACATAAGCTATACTAACTGGTATGATTTTCCAAAGGGTTGTAATATAAAAAAACAAATAACAGCCGAAAATGTTAGTGCAATGTAAGGGAAGAAGAAAATGCAAGTAGAAGATGGGAATTAGAAACTATGCACTCATACAAAAACAAGCATGATCAAGCACAGAGAATGCTTCTAATTTAATCAACTTAATTGAAATATAACAAGAAAATTAGTTAATTTCATCTAATGAATTAAGGATATAATTAAGTCTGAAACTCAAATTTTGATTAAATCAAAATCAAATTTATTTTGGTTGGATTCAAGAATGGCTCTCTATATTACTTTGATTCAACTAACAAACAACATCAACCACACACACACACACGAACACATATACATACATACATATATACATATATACATACATACATATATACATATATACATACATATATATATACATATATATATACATATATAACTCCCTACCCATTGCATATGCCGTACGAATTTGCCAGGACTAGTGCTGAAAAGGGTTAGTATTCATGTAAATTGATTTCGATATCCTATAATTTAACTTTTAGGTACTGTTGGAGAGACAAAATGAAGATGTGATAACAGGTCTTCTAAGCATCCGATAGAGTGAGGCCGAAACATACTGAGAATCCACTCCGATAATATATAGTTGACTACTATTGGAAGCTATGATGATTATAGAAAATCATGGCATCCACTTTTTATATGCTGTAAAATTTTGACAGAACTCCATAACTCCATGAAAACCTCCCACTTCAACAGAGAAAACAAGCTAATAATTTTTAATTTCTCGCCAGATTTAGTTTTCATTTATTGGATATCTTCTTCCATAGAACGATTATTTTTAAGATACAAAGGATTCGCACATAAAAAGCACCAAATATCAACCACTTCCTTCAGGCAGAAAAAAACAATGCTAGAATCAAAAGCCCAAATGAAACAAAATGGTAGGAGAAAAAAATCTTAGAAATCAAGCAAGAATTTAGAATCACATAAAATCAACCAACAAGTATAATTTCCTTTTAACAGATTAAAATTTTAATGAGCTAATTTTTATTAAAATAAAGAGTAAAAGACAAGTTTATATCAAATTATTAATAAGAAATAGAGAAAGAAACGAAAAATACTGAAGCAAGAAAAAGTAACCCTCATGTCCACAAAGAGGATGACTTCCCTGAAAAATAGACAGTTCACTTGTACTCTACATGAAGGAATCATGCCAAGTTACACTCACAAGATTATATATATATAATCTGAAGAATAAAGTTTTAAAGAGAGCTTCGCTTAAAAAAATTGTAGCAGTGGTTTTTAATAAGAAGAGAAAGGCCTACTATTAAAAAAATAATGAAATGGGATGCATTGAATGCAAGAAGTGTATTAATTTTTTACATTTCGTTTAATTTTTACATTTCGTTTAATTTATTTACATCTATTCATTCTCTTGCATGTTTCAAGAAAACTGGCCACGTCTTCTCCAAAGAGTTACTGCAACTTCCTTTCTTCTCCCAAGACATGGCCACTGGTAACATTGTCACCTTCTCCGGCAAGCTCTCGCCACAACTGTCTCCCTTCTCCAAAGTTAGACCTTGTTCCCGTCAACATGTTCTATAGCGAGCTCCATGTCGACTTCCTCCAACAACACTTAAACGAGCTCCCCTCACGACAAGTTGAGCCTCGCGTTCAAGCCGCTCTTTTGACAGTCGAGTCGAGCTTGAGTTGTGATTCAAGCTCGACTCAACTCATTTATATCCCTAACTCCAGCCCACATCTAACACATTAAAAATCATATCTAATATAATTTAAAAAATGAGAGTCGAACATGACAAAATAAAAATCATATATAATACATTTTCAAAAATGAGAATCCAACATGATTAAGACATGCCTCAACATGGTTGTGGCGTTCAATAACAGAGAACCATGCTTTTAATCAATGAGCTAGCTTTCAAACATTGGTTTTTCTCATTGTGGTGAAAGTGTTATTAAACAAAGATATTGGTCTTAGTGGGATTAAATGATCATGGTGCCATGTGCGTTGAATCCAATTAATGAAGCATTATGTGTTCATACTTTGTGTGGCTATTTTGAAAATTATATATGGCCTATTAGGTTTTATGGGAATTTCATATAGAAAATGCAATTTTGATATTGACAAAATCACATATAATGATTAATGCTAATATTGATGTGTTACAGACAATTGCACATATGTGAAATGTAATTGTACATATTAGTTTTTAATCTGTTAATCCTTGAGCATTTTATACGATAAAAATAAAATTATACTTCATTGTATGATGCACTTTGATAGAAAATATTAGCACCAGGTATGATGATTATATATTTCATATTAGTAGTTAATAAAAAACATTGTATCTATGGCATATCGTATCCTTATTTTTATGATTATGCTGTCTCCATTTGGCATCTTGTGTAAAGATCGTTGTTTTACAAATCAACCAAAATTAGCTGAACTGAAGCTTCATAAATTCTGTTTAAGAGATCCAGAAGCCATAATTCTTCAGAACACAAGTGCTTTAGAAAGCTAGGTTATGCAATTTATAGTACAGAGTACAGACTATATAAACTTCATCCATAATAAGCATACCTCTTTTGAAAACATGTGAATCAGTTGATTCTTTGGACCTTTAAGAGCAAAAAAAGATCCAATAATGAAGCCACAGCCAACAGTAAAACAGATTGCAAATTTCTGAGGCATTATAACCATAACTGGAAGGAACATGGTGAATGCAAGGAAGATAAAAAACACTCCACTAGCAAGTAGCAGTCCAAAGTACATGAGAGCCTTCCCAGAAGGAACACTGCTTGTAGCAGTCTGGAAGCTTCCAGGTATTTCTCTTACACTTTTTGAAACCCTGATGAGTAACGAAAACCATCAAATAGTTCGCATAAGGCTAGTAATGAGGATGATGAATAAACCAGACAAAACTATAAATATCAATGACTATTCAGAAAAAAAAAGGTGTTTAAGCAGACACACAAACCAAATGGTCAGTATTGAGGTAGACAACACTCAAACCAAATGGAACCGATTCTTGTTACTTTATTAAAAAGATATTGAAATACTTAAAAGCAATGCTTTGCTCAACAACTAGATCAGTTACAAATGACTTCTATAAAATCTGGAGAATAGAATAAAGGTTTTACGGTTGATGCAAGTGTATAGACTGAGCTTTGTGTTGTGTAAAAAAACAGCTACTACTAACTTGCTAGGCTTTTCCCGGCACGAGAATAACATGAATGGGAAAACTGAAATACAGAAATTTGCAATGTGTTACTTTGATCATAAGTAATACAGGGTTCCAAACAGTACATTAAAAGAAGCAGAGATGAGAATACCATATTAATGGGTAATAACACCGAAAAGAAAGATGTGTGGAACTTCTATAAATTTCTCAATGATTTTTGGTCCATCATTTTGAGTAAAAAGCAGAGTGAGCTTAAGCATTATGAATGTAAGCGTCAAACCCACTAAAATCTACTATGAAGATAAAAAGCTTAGAGGAGAAAAAATAACATTTAAGGCTTCAGAGACGGGTTTACCTTTTCAACAATATTCCTGTGAGTCTATAAATAGGACAGATGTTACAGAAAAAAATGCAATGACCATGATTCATGAGTGTTTACCAGAGTTATCTTTTGAGAGAAGATGGTGACACCAATAGTAGTGAGCTATTGGTCACTTCTCTGGCTATAAATTGTAAGAACCAAAACTATCATGGAAATGAGGAAGATTTTTTCTGACAAGTGTCTTTTGATTCAGGTTAAGATAAATAGCAGCATACACTATATTGGTAACCTCTATGATTATGGTACTAAAAAATCATACCGATAATTGAGGCGAGGAACCCTTAAGCATACATGATTTGTATAAAATTAGACAATAAGATGCGTCCCTTGAGGCCTACCTCAACACTTCTTTATAAAAAATCAAAATGAAACTTACATTTTATTGTCCCAAGGTAAGGTATACGAATCATCCAGGTTGAGGCATGCCCCGGCTTAAAAACTGCATCAATTTTGTAAGGCATTCTACATTTTTTTTAAATAAAACTAAAAATAATATCAATATACCTCACTCATCAACGCTCACACCTCACACACTAAATAGCAAGTAATAAATGGAATATTTTATCATAAAATTTTATGCAGTTGAAGTTCTAATTAATGACATAGTTATTATTTTAATTAATATTTTTATTTATAATTATTTATCAAAAACGGAAAGATAAATGAGAATAATGTAAGGAGGAATGGTAGAACATGGATATGATAGAGGGCAAGGTGTGATAAGCAATTAATTATGCCGATGAGCTTAGTGAAAATTTATTGGATGACTAGTTATATTCTTACTTATGTGAGGGACAGTAAGAGTGAGAGAAAAAAACTTATGTTGACCTTATTTTGATTATTCTATTTTGATGGTTTAGTATTTTATTTTGATTTATTAGTATAATTTGATAGTTTAATATTTGTATAACTCATTTTATTTCAAGATTTGATATCAGGATAATACCGTTTAACTTCTTATATTACATAGTTTAATACTTTTTACTTTGTTAAAATGTTGATATATTATTTTTTTTAAGTTTTAATATAGAAGAGTATTAATATGTTATTTTTTACTTCAAATTTTATAGTTTATACAATATTTATTAATTTATGTAATTTTTAAATTTGAGGCTTACACCTCGGCACCATAGATAAAAAACGCCTCGGTGCTCAATTGCATAATTCTAAATCTTGATACATCTTTTGAATTTGGAGGGTGTTTCCATTGTATTAATAGGTGTTGTTGATGAATCCTCCAATTATGATCTTCAAAAATGCTCATCATCTAATTGCGCCCTTGTGAAATATTTTTTTTAATTTTGAAATGAGACTTTATGCTTTTGAGTTAATAGTGGTGATCCCTCCAATTATTACTTCTAATAATGGCCTTCATCATTGGAAAAGTTAGTTCCTAGTAGATCTCTTTAATGTTCCATGTTCTTTATAGAGTTTGGGTCATTTGCATGAATCTTACCCTAAATTTTGGCACTGCTTCTAACCTAACAAATATGTTAACAAGAAGTGGACAAAGCCATCAGACTAAAAGAGGTATGAACATGGTGGTGTGCAAGGCACCCCAACAACTCGCCAAAATGAGCCTCATAAAAACAGAAACTGCACAAGCCGGAGATCAATGACAAAAACTTGAATGCAAACAAAAAAAAGATGCACAAGCTTAATTTCAATAACAAACTTGTTAGACAGCAAACACCTCAGACCAATTATCTTATTATATTTTCTGTGAACTTCCAACTAGTCAGAACATACATAGCAATGAATAGAGGGCTTCTGGAATTCTTTTGTCTAGGGCTTGTTTCATATATTTTGATGACAAAATGGTTTTTGATGCATCTACTTGCGAGATATAACCACACTCGATTATAGATGTTAAACCAACTGTTAGGACTACGCTCCACTCTAAAGTTTCATTATCTATATTATTAGAATTCATGGATTCCCTTGTCCATCCATCGACACTTGTCTACGGAACCTCCATTTTTTGCTTCACCAAGTTCACTGATACAAGGAATTGTTCATTTATTGTTTATCTTCATCCAAATTATTCATTCAACACATTTGTTTTTTACTTTTTGTGTATAATTAAAAAGTTTATTTAAATCACCTCATCCTTTGTTCCGTTTAAACCTAGCATGTACTCTAGAATTAGTGAAAAATAAATCAATAAAGTCTTTAATAATTTTTTAAGGGTATTAAAGCAATTTACTTATCTGATACACCAAGCAAAATGTGTGGATTAATTGGCCCTAATTAAAACATCAAGAAGCAAATTAGCTGATACACCAAGCCAAATTTGTGAATTTACAAGCTAGTAGCATCCAACCATTTTCTAAATGTCATTCTAGAATCTCGAAATATCATTTTCCTGATATATTCTGATTAAAGAAGGATTATCAATAGTAGTGCAACTTGCTGTAGACATGCAGCTCTATTATTTCCATGAATCAAGGCTGACCACAATTATAAGCCCTATATTGAGCAGTTAGACAAAAAACTGGACGTGAAAGCTATTATATCTTGAAAAAGAGAGTGTATCATACTTTTAGAACAAATAAGAAAATTGATGAGTTTTGCATCTTCTTTTTACCAAGTTTAACATTACGATTACAACAAAAGGAAACTAGGACTGTCAAACACGAACTTCTGATATAATTACAAGCAATTCAATACAATAACATAAGCACTCCAATAATTCACACCAGCATGACCTGTGCATGCAACTTATAATGAACTTTCAAACTAGTTAGGTTTTCTTATCTTCCAACAATACTAATATAACAAGAGTTTCTCTATGTAAATTTAAGCAAATAATCATTTTTTTTGTTGCCATGAATTTGAGTTTGACATCCCAAATGATAAATGGAGCAAGTGTTTCATACAATTCAACATTGAAATCAGCACGAATTTTCATACAAATTACGACAAAGCAAGTATTTTTCTTTAATAAACCAAACAACTCAATTTGAACACAAAGATAGACACCAGCAATTCAAAAGGTAGCGATTTCCCCAATTCATACAATTAGAGAGGTAGGAAATCTCTCCCAAACCCTAAAACTAAGACGCACAACAACAATCTCATGCATAAACCTAACCCTAACACAATAAGTATATTTATACCCAACAATAATAATAATAAAAGACAAAATTGCCCTTAAGCATACAAAATACAAAATTGCCCTCAAGTTAGGAGGCACTTGTGTAGCAATACTCCCCCTTCCCAAAAAAGACAAATTGTCCTCAAGGTGGAAAAAAAGTGAGTGTTCCTCCTCCACCACAGCTGTCTCTATTTCTCCATCCTTTGCCTCCTTATCATGCACTATGAGAACTTGTAATTTTTTATCATTGTAACGGTGTCCAAACTTCACATCACACCGAAAATATAATCGTTTGGCTCGCTTCTTGTAAATCTTTGTCTCACTAAAGCGCTTAAGTGCCAATCACGATAGTGGCTCATTATTCATGTCTCGTGCAGTCGTCCTCTGTACTTCCACTATTTAAAATTTTGGCAACACCATGGTTGTCGCAGTTTGGTATGGTGCTCCATCTGTGTTTCTCTTGTTGGTCTTCTCCATCTAGTTCATGTCCTCCACCATCTAGGCAAGCTCCATCGTCCCCCTCAATTCCTACGGTCTAAATAGTCAGAGATTACTGGGTTTTATGCCCTTCATGAAATTCCCCTTCGGTCCCACTTCAGAAATCCCCCTCAGTCGACCCGACAATAGCTCGCATTTCTCCCAATATTCCATGGCAGTCCCCTGCCGATTCAAGGCATAGGATTGGTCATTTAGGTCTCCTTTCTAAACGGCTCGAAAACGTTCCAACAAACAATCCTTAAATTATTCCCATTAACAGATCGGATATTTAGCCTCCCTTCATTGAAACCATGCTAAGGGTTTTCTCCCAAAACATAACCCTGCCGCCATGAGTTTTTCCTCCTCATTTAGCTCATTCATCGTGAAATATCACTCCACCCGATACACCCACCCATGTGTGTCATCCCTCTCGATGATTGACATCTTCAACATTCTAACCATAGCATCTACACACCAAATTTCTCTCCCTCTGTTTCCCCTATGTATCTAGGGTAAAACTCGCTCCTACGATCATAGTCAATATCCCATCCTTTCTTCTCTCATTTCTTCTCTGTGCTCCTCCATGCCTGTTGCACAACGTCTACTCCATATTTCAGCCTAACCGCTACATCGGAAATATCGAATTCGCCCCTAATTGTAACCCAGGGAGGGGGTTCTTGAAGTGGGATGCTTTGTCTCATGTTCCTCTTG